CTTCCGTTTTGTCTTTGGTTTTGGGTGAAAACCGAACCGCCAAAACCAAACCCACCCCTAGCCACATATACATTAAGAGGAACAAGGATGTCTACACCCAATGATATTCACTCACTATTTATGAGCGGTTGGGTTCAATAGACACTGGGTTTTAGTTGCCACGAAAACACCACTACCTTATAGTGTTCTATTCCTAAAATTGATGTAATTCTCCTGGTAAACCTCCCGGCCAGTCCTGACCCCAATTCATTCTCCCACCTATGTCAATTGCACTCAACAAATATAATTCACTTTAAAATCTAAAATTTTGAACTCAAGTTCAACTAAACTTGTCGGGTGCCATCGACATGGATGAGGAGATAAGTTGGGGTCAGGACTGGATAGAAGAGTTAGGAAGCGTATCAATAATTAATTTTAGGAACAGAATATCGTAAGTGTCTGAATCGAGAGAGTAGCTTCCGTGACACTAAAACCTAGTCCCAGCCAATTTATAAGTGCAAGGTATATTACTCCGTATGATTGAATTGAATTACCTGCACTTTCTTCCCACTTAACTCCATAGGAGTATTTTCTTTTTTTCCTCTTCTTCAATAAATGTAACATTGTGCTTGTGCTTGATACATTTGCAAATGTACGGAATATATTTGGCGATTGGGGAATCTACTCGTAATTAATGAGGGAAGGCCCTAATGAAAAACCATACTCCATGCTAAAAAAATGTTCATGTTTTAATTATTTTTGGTCAAACAATGACATACTTTGATCATTAATTGTGAGAAAAGTATATTAAATTATACTCCCTTCGTCCCAAAAAGATTTACACGTTTCAAAAAAATTGTGTCCCACAAACCCTTACCCATTTCTATTAAAAAACCAATTTTACCCCTTACTTTTTCAAACCCTACCTATCACATCAAACCTTTTTCCTAATAATCTACACATCACATCCTACTTTTTACCCATCACATCAAGGGTATTTTTGGAAAGTCAACACAAAATTATCTTTCCCTTAATTTCAACTTTAGTCAAAATGGGTAACACTTTATGGGACGAAGGGAGTAATATAAATTCAAAAAGTCAAAATCATTAATTATGAGAAAAGTATACTTTGACCATTATATTATGTTTAAAATTATGGTCAAAGAGTACTACGGAGTACTATTTAATTTTAAAAAGTCAGAACAGAAAAAGTTTTAGAACACAAAAGAATATGAAATACTCTATTCATTTTTATTGAGGGAAGTCAATTACCGAGTATAACCTTACTTATACAGAAATATTACTCCCTTCATCTTAAAATCTTTCGATAATTTTTTTGTTTATATTTTTCATTGATTGTTTAATAAAATTAAATATTATTATCATTTCTTATTTTCTATAATTTCCGACATAGTTTTTTAACATGTAATTTTACTAAAGGTTAAGGTTAATTCCATAAAAGGTCTCAAATTATAGTTCGTTTTACATATTTAGTTCCTACATATCAAATATCAATAATTTAGTTCCCAATTATTATACTCCGTATTACTTTCTACGAATGGTTTTTTGTTAGTATTTCCGTTAAAAACATAGATACAATTGTAAATTCACACTACTCTCTTTCCTCAATTAAGCTTCCTCAGCTCCCTCCTCTTGCACTCTTTTCTCAAATCCGTCGTTGAGTTTGAAGTTTTGAACCCAAAACCGAAATCATCACTTCTCTTACAATTGTTTGTGTTCTTGGTGGAATCCAAAATCAAAACCAGTAACCTTCATTGATGAGTTTTAAGGTTTATTTTCATTTGCAATTTCCTTAGACTAAATCATTAAACTCATTCATGAAGGTTATTAGATTCAATTTTGGGTTTCACCAGGAAAATGAACAATTGAGAGATGAATGATCATATCTAGACCTGGCAAAATTTGACCCGACCCGTTACTAATCCGAAACCCGACCCGAAATTTGCGGGTTTTGAACATTGATTTTGCGACCCGAACCCGAAACGACCCGAACCCGAAGACCCGTTAAATTTTTGGGTCAGAACGGGTCGGGTCGGGTTTGACCCGACGGGTTATGCACTTAATTGTTTATTTTTATTAGTTATTTAGTTTTATATATTCATTTAAAATATGATATACCCATTAGGCTACTCAAAACTCAAAAAGCGTAATATATATATATATATATATATATATATATATATATATATATATATATATATAGTTCTCCCACTCTTCCACCGTTTGTTGATATTAGATGTCAACTCAGTCAAAATGGTGAGAAGACACCAGAACAATAGTGGAATTTTTAATCCTATTTCATCCTCTTCAGTTGCTCCTACGTGTAACTCAAGTTTTAATTCTTTTCTTTTGTTTTGGTATGATGCAAGAATTTCAATTTTTTAATAACGTATATATATTTTTGGGTATGTTGAAAGAATCTTCAATTTTTTTCATCTAGTGCAGTTTTTTTGGTATGCTGCAAAAAGGTGATTTTTTTGGGTATATTGCAATTCTCTTTTGGTATGTTGCAAATAGAACTGCAAACTTTTATGATTTCGTTCTTTGTTTTGAATAATGCTCGGATCACATGATCTCTAAATAGCAAAATTTTTAATTTTTAAATACGCCTCTTAACCCGTTGGGTCAACCCAAACCCGATAACTCTGGGTCATGAACAAGCACTCTTAGACCCGAACCCGAAGTGACCCGAACCCGAAATAACCCGAACCCAATTATACCGAACCCGAACCCGACCTGACCGACCGTTTTGCCAGGTCTAATCATATCGATTTTGGGTTTAGAGCTTCAAATTCAGGTTTGAGAATTAGTACGAGAGGAGGGAGGAAATTTAATTGACGAAAGAGAAGAGTCTGAATATACAATTTTGTTCATGTTGTTAACGGAAATGTTAACAAAAGACTATTTGTGGAAAAAAAATATAATAATTGGGGACTAAATTATTGATATTTGATATGTAGGAACTAAATATGTAAAATGACCTATAACTGAAAACCTTTTATAGAATTTACTCAAAGGTTAATTATGCTTTTGATCCCTTTAAAACAAGAGACTCTTGCATTTAGTCCTAAAATATTTTTTTAATTAAACCACTATGGATTTAAAACATTTTAGAGGAACAAAAACAAAATCACTCATTTCTTAGGGACTAAAAACAAATTGAACATTAACTCTAAATTTTAAAAAAAATAGTGAAAGACTCTTTGCAAAAATAAAAATTTTACAAGGATGACTTAATTTAAAAACATTAGAAAGATGAAAAATAAAACACGTTTATTTTACATTGACCAAAACCATTTTAACTACTCTTTTATTAATTATTCTTGTACCAATTTATAAGTAAATTAAATTTTACAAAAAATGGAATCTTGACTCAAAATATAAAATATACTCCCTCCGTCCTAAAATAATCTTTCCAGCCACTATTCACATTGTCAAATTTTAATCACCTTCTATATCTATCTTTGTTATTATTTGATAAAATAATATACTCATGTCACCTCTTAACTTGCAAAGTATTGATGTTGTTTTGAAATATGTAATTTTTATTTTTAAATATTGGGAGAAAGACCAAAATATATCTAAAACATTAAAAATATACCAAAATAGACTCTAATGTTTTTATTCCCGAAATAAGATTCAAAATGAATTTACATTACCAAACATGGTCATGTACATTACCAAAAAGTATAGTAATATGCACATGTAAGGTGTCACATTACCACAATGCGAAGTCATATTTCGGGGGAAAAAAATATGAAAGTCCTATTTTGGTACTTTTCTTTATGTTTTAGTTCTATTTAGGGTGATTTCTATTAAATTTTACACCTGTAATCAATAAATTGAACTGAAAATATCTTCAGTCAAATATCATAAATCAAACTGAGAAGATCGTGTAATCTAATTTGGGAGTAATAAGAGCATCAAAAATGGCAAGACGAAAATGGAATGCCACACGGTGAAATGAAACATTTTAACCAATAAAAAAATAGTTCAGTCAGTGCGTGACAAGTAAATGGAGTGGCAAGTCCTACAATAGCAAGTGATTATTTTTTATCACTTTTTTACATTTTTTTGTTTTTTAAACATAAATTTTTTTTATTATTTATGTTATTAAGAAATTATTCTACTTTCTTGTACATTTTTTCATAAAAAATTTTAAAAGAATTATTTTTAAAAAAAGAAAAAAAGTACTCCGGTAGTATGAAGTGTCACACTGTGCCTCACCAAGGCATTTTGACCTTATCATACATGAGTGAAAAAAGTAATGTGGGAGTACAAGATATCCTTGTTCCTTGTCATTGCTCTGACCAAATGAAGGCACAAGAGTATCTATATTTTGACCAAACGGAGACGGGCGAATTAAAAACAGTAGATGGACTCGTAGGTAGAGCGGTAGAGGCGAAACGGCAAGTTGAAAACGGAGGTAAGTAACGTGAGTTAGTGGGTCCCACGCCCTCAATCTTCAACTCCAACAATATCTTCAAGATTCTGATCCGATGATATATGTCACATACATCCATACAAACTCCGTATATGTTTTTGTCTGATTTAATTTTCCTTCATGGTACGTTTTTTTTTTCAATCAAAATTAGTAAATTTTTTATCTCAAATTAAATAAAAATGATATTATATATTAATACGAAATTAATTTAATTAGATTTATTATATAAAATATTTTCAAAATATTATTTTATCTAATTAATACATAATATATTTTTTATTTAATTATAGATCAACAATTAAAAATGATTAACTAAAAAAAGTAAAAACTGAACAAATATTTTGGGACGAAATAGTATACCACTCTTCTCAGTGACGGTCCAGACCGGACTTGTATATCTCCCCCCACACACACTTTCAAAGATTGTATCTTTGGCGTATCTTCCCATCCCCTCTCAATATATTATCACTCCTATTTTTCTTTCTTTCGTATCTTTTGATCTCTCACACATCTATCTATCTATAGTGTATATATATTCTTCTCCTCCATATATTCTTTATTTGATTCAATTCAATTCAAGCTTTATACATACAGTTCATTCTAATAATATAACGCCATCTCTTTTCATTGAAAATGTCTTCTTCCTCATCATCTTCTTCTTCATCATCAGATGAAGCAAAGTTCCATGTTCTTGCAGTGGATGATAGCGTCATTGATCGAAAGCTCATTGAGAGGCTCCTTAAAACCTGCTCTTATCAAGGTATATTTTATCTTCAATCCTTTCTTTCTCATCGTTCGATACGATCTTTTATGTGTTAGAGTATAAAACATTTCCTGACGTTGGAAAAATTGGCAGTGACGGCGGTGGAGTCGGGAATGAAGGCGATGGAGGTTTTGGGGAAGGAGATAGAGGGGGTGAATTTGATCATAACGGACTACAGCATGCCGGGGATGACGGGGTACGAGCTCCTTAGGAAGGTGAAGGGATGTTCCTCCCTGAGGGACATCCCGGTGGTGATCATGTCGTCCGAGGATTTGCCCTCCCGGATCGACCGGTGCCTCCAGGATGGCGCCGAGGAGTTCTTCCTCAAGCCGGTCCGCCAATCCGACGTCAACAAACTCAGGTCTCATCTCATCAGGAGACCTAGCTCTGCTGTAGCTGCTGCTGCTGAAGCAGAAGAAGTTTCTTCTTTGCAGCCACAGCAACAGCAGAACTGTCGGAAGAGAAAGGCCGCCGCTGTCCTTTTGGAAGAAAGTTGCGGCCTTTCCTCCGTCCAATCGACAAAGACGATAAGACGATAAACTGACGGACCAATTTGAATTTAACCGGTTCACCACGCGGTTTATGGTGAAGATTAAAGAATGGCTATGGAACATTATTCCACAGCACACGTATATGTATGCTGCTGCTGGAAAATGGATTCTTTTTTTTCAAAAGGAAGTTTAGTTAATACGGAGTGCTTAAGTTTGGACCAAAGCTATATGAGTAAATTGTTTCACTTATCCTCCGGATTAATTATGAAACTCATTTGATACAAGTAGTAATCTTCTTCGGTTTCATCTCACAATTAGTAAGCCCACACTTCCGTTTAATCTTATTAATTACTCATCCCTTCCAAAAAATATATGCTGTTGATTTTGTTACAATGTTGATATATGTTTATACGTTTTTTCAATCTAATGACAAACAAAGAGTCAACGTTTATGTCTACGTTGGGACTCGAATCTGGGCAAACTTTACCATGAAAAGATCTCCCTTTGATCGTTCTTAGTCACGGTCAAATATAGTATCAATGGCAGTAGAAGGGCGGCCGAGCATATTGGGCCGGTCGAAATCGTACCTATTGGGCTTGTGCGTCTTTGTTTCGTCTATTAACCATCTCGGGTTGTGGGGAGGGGCTCCGATCCATTCACTACTTATTACGGAGTAATTATTATCGATAAAGAAACCGCTTTCTCTCTCTGTAACATTGAGATCAACAAAACCTTTAAACATCAACTCTCTCAAATGAAATTTATAGGTTCAAACCTCAATAAAGGCATTGACTCTATGTACTTCAATAAGTTAAAAAATACTCCCTCCGTCCCAAATTATTTATCACATTTCTATTACCGAGGCAAAATATCAAGTTTTTTCAATTCATTTTATTTACATATTGGTAAAGAAATAAAAAATAAAAAGTACATATCAAAAAACTGCATGAAAAGTTCTTCGAAATAAGATGTGTCAAGAATATTTTATTTTATCAAATAATCAATGAAAACGTAGAAATAAACTAAAGTTCTCGCGACTGTTGAAAAAACAAATGTGACGAATAATTTGGGACAGAGGGAGTATCATTTTCGTCTTAATGTAATTGTCTGAATTGATTTTTTAATCAAACTAGATAAATTTTAAATTTTAATGTAAAACATGTATTATTAGTATAAAAAGAAGTCCATTAAACTTGTCTTGGAGATGTTTTCAAAATTTGATCTAATTTAATTTATTTAAAAAAATTAAATTGAACAAATATATTGGAATTGATAAAGAGAAATCTTTTCAAATGAGATTAAAACATAGAGAAAAATATCAAAATCGAAACTTTGGCACTATAGTACGTAATGTAAAACTATATGTGTAGATTTCATAATATTTTTTGGTAATATATATGATCATGATTGTTATTGTATATGCATTTTAACTCTTATTTCGAGAATAAAAATATAAAACTTTTATTTTAGTATAGTTTTAATGTGTTACTCCTACTTTAATTTTATTTAATTGATAAAACAATTAAGAAAAGATATTTGATATATCCCTACCTTTCCTTTAATTTACTACTCGTTTTTTAGTTTGGATATAAAAAATGGAGATCGAGTAAAGGTATGTTTGAAAATAACGTTAGAGTTCAGCGTTAACGTTTTGAAAAAACTACCTATGTGCAGTATTTAGCGTTAACGTTTTCAAAGTTAATCTGCACTTATTCGAAATGATAATGCTAATCGAAAATGATATTTGGATACACATCCTAAATATAAATATATAATGTGTGGTAGAAGGGGGGTACAAAGTAGTTTCTACCGAATAATGGACCGCTAAAAAAATTGTGCCACGAGTAATTAGTTAATGATAAGCCAATGTAATTAAGCTTAGTTTTCCCTCGTTTTTTCTTAATATGGAACCACACCATTTCATTTCTTTCGCCGGAAAATTAACAACAGAAAAACAGGCCCCAGAAAATATTGTCATCTCCTTCCTTGAGAGGGTTCGCCCATCCTCCATTTCTCCTCTAACTCTGCAAATTCCTTCAGAAACAATTTTTGAATTTCTTCGATCGGTCGCGAAGAAGATCACAGAAATTACATTCCAACGCTCTACGCTCTCCAATTTTGATGATGGCTGGTAGGGAAAAGAGCGAATCTCAAAACAACAATCCGAAGATGAATCCTGTTTCGCCTTTCAATCGATCGTTGACGATGGCTCCCGGCCGCACCTCCGGCGAGACCTTCGGGCTCTCCAGGAAGCCATCCGTGGAACGGATCGGGTCGATTAAGAAGATCCACGGATCCTCCGCCTTCGATTCGATCGTTTCCGTCGCCGGGAATTCGTTCACGGGGAAGGTGAAGAAGCTCTGCTCTCTCTTCGACGCGCAGAAATTGTCTCGCGGATTGTCCAGCTTTCTCCCCCTGCAGCGGCAATCTTCCACCGTCTCCGCCGCCGCGAAACCCTCGATTTCCGGATCTGGCGATTCTCCGCCTCTGCTCCCTGGGACGGACGACAGAGTGGTCGTTTACTTCACCAGCCTCCGCGGAATCCGCCGCACGTTCGAGGACTGCTACACGGCGCGGATGATCCTGAAGAGCTTCCGGGTGAACGTGGACGAGAGGGACGTTTCCATGGACGGCGCGTACAGGGCGGAGCTGCAGAGCGCGTTGGGGGAGAAGAGCGTGAGCCTGCCGCAGATTTTCATCAAAGGGAAGTACATCGGCGGGGCTGAAGTGATCAAGCAGATGAACGAAGTGGGCGAGCTGGTTAAACTGCTCAGGGGTCTCCCGGCGCGGCCGCCGGGATGCGCCGCCGTATGTAACGGCTGCGGAGACGCGCGCTTCTTCCCCTGCACGAATTGCAACGGGAGCAAGAAAGTGTTCGACGAGGGAGGTGGACAAGTGCGGAGGTGCCACGTGTGCAACGAATACGGGCTGGTTCGCTGCCCTTTCTGCTGTTATTGACTGCCCGGCGGGTATTTAACTATTTTGTGGAGATCATTTTTTTAATGGGCTATTGTCACCACGTTGAATACTCATCGAAGATAATAAAGCATATTTTATTGTTTCATTTGTCAAAATAAATTACTCACTTGTTTTGATTTTCATGGAATATTAGAAACAAATTGTTACAATGTGAAAATTTAATGATTAAATTTTTCATAGTATTTAGAAAAAAATGAAATATTTTGAATTTCATATATATTCCTTTTTTAATAAGAGAGATCAAATAAATAAGTTACTTTGAAATACATTCTAGAATGTAAGGAATGTTCTTCATAATCTAAGAATACGCATAGTTTGACTTACCACATCCTACCGGGGCACATTGCCCATCGTTGTTAACCACCTTCAGCCGTTGACTACTCACTATTGTTGTAACCTCTTGTCAACTGTCACATGTTGTCAGCCTTGAACCGCCGCCAACCATTTCTCGTCGCAGATCTCCCATCACTTTCGGCCATCCAGTGTTAGCCACACATCTTCTGTGATCATTTATCTTGGCTAGCCATTCATCATCGTTTGTCATCCTCACATGTTACTATCAACCGTCTTTTCAAATCTATTTTAATACTTTTGTTTTTAATAAATATGTCTTTTCTTTTAGATTCTCTAGCTCATACTATATCAACATTCTAGAACTTTCCAAAAAAGACCGAAGACTTTAGCTTTCGAAAAAGAGCGTGACGGTTAAATTTCCTAACTCGCGATAGCTAAATTTCATAACTCATACTAGATCAATCTTCTAAAGTCACCAAAAGGTGCCTTAAACTTTATATTCTAGATTTATGATATGTTTTCCTCAACTTTTAATTCATGTTATTAAAACTTGTTATAACATGTCCTTTAAAGTTTAAACTCTTAATTTCTAGTCCTTCCGGTTTTTTCTAGTTTCATTCAATTTTATCCCATTTTTCCATTTTTTTTAATTCTTCAAGTTTTTCTAACCATTTACATTTTCTTTCATCTTTTCTACTCCGCAACTAATGATTCACAAAATGATATATTTTCATGTATTATTATTATTGTTAATATGTTCATAATTATAGTTTATTTTTTAATTTTTTAATTTTTATTTTTTTCTATGTCATTATTTTGTGGTTCACACTAATTAAAGAGTATTATTTTTTCTTCTATTTTAAATATAAATATTATGGAGTATATTTTTATTGGGAAAAATATTTTTTATCAATTTACATGCGCTGAACTATCGTCTAAAAATTAGAAATGTTTTATTAATTTAAATTGATCTGTGAAATATATGAATATTTTAAATTTTAAATTTATAATTATACTACTCCCTCTTTGCCTAATTAAATTGCATGTACACACTTTACATGGTCAATTTTTATTTACTTTCTTTACTTATTATGATGGTGGTGGTGGTGGTGGTGGTGGTGGTGCTGATGATGATGATAACAACAACAATAATAATAGCAGCAACAACAATAACAACAACAATAATAATATAATAACGTTATGAACAATAACAACAACAACAACCATAACAATTAGGATAAGGGGGGTGTATTCAATTAAGATTTTAAAAGATTTTGATAGATTGTTTAAAATCTATGGACTATGTAAAATCAATGGATTGTTTAAAGTCTATGCAGAGTTAGATTGATTTTAATACATTTTAACAAGATTTTATAAAATTCTCTCTGATTGTTTATTATCCATGGATTTCTCTGTTTTATATTTCTTCCTTCTTTATTCCTTTCTTTCTAGGTATCTTCGCCCAGCTCCCAAGACTAGTATGAAAAGTACACTAAAATTAAATTTTGAAGTCCTTCCAGCTTTTTCCATTTTTAAAATTATTCCAGTTTTTTCTAGTTTTTTTCCATATATTTTAGTTCTTTTTCTAGTTTTTTTATAGTTTCTTCTAATTCTTTTGAATTTTTCTAGTTTCTTCTAGTTTTTGACCAATTTCTTCCATTTCTTCAACATCTAACTCCTTTTCAAACCTAAAAAATAGGTTCTTAGAATATAAAATGTTTACTTGGGCCAACAACCATAAATTTGAATGTTTGGTTGAGTTTGTTTTTTGACATTGTATTAAAGGATTATTGATAAAGATGCAGCCACTTCAAATCTCACTCACTCAGTTTTAACAAAATTAATATTTCATGTGTAGGATTGGAAGCACATGAGTAGACGTAAAGAATATAAAAATCTTTTTTCGGACTACAACACTGTTAGAGAAAACTCTTTATAACTTTTCGTGAGTGTTAATAACGAGTTTTAGCATTTGATTGAGTTAGTTTGTTAACATAGTATCAAAACATTGCTCATCAAATATGTCAGAAGTTTAAATATTTAGGTGTAAGGCTCTATAAAAAATATATCTCTTCTATACATGAGGGGTGTGTTAGCATTTGATTGACTCCCACCGTAGTTTTTATGGCTCAATTTTTTTTACAGCGCCGCCACCGTAGTTACGCCGACTGCCTCACGACGGTCATCTCTGCCGCCGGCTCACGTCGGACAACTTCTCGTCGCCTCACGTCAGCGATCTTTTCACACCGCCTCACATCGGTTGCCGTGTTTCTTCCGCCACCATGATAGCCGAGACTCCAAAAAAGGTATGGCTTATTCACAATCCCACCTCTCCCTACTACATCCATCCGTTCGAAAGTGCGGGTTACTCGTTGACAAAACATCTTCTCAAGGGGGACAATTATGATGTTTGGGAGAAAACGATTGTCAACGCTCTTGAAGGGCGCAGCCGCACCGGTTTTCTATTTCCTTCAGGGTTTCCCAAACCCACCGATGACAGAAACTTGCAGCTTGGAAAGCGAATAATTCCATTATTTGTTCTTGGATTTGTAATAGTGTTGATGAACATATTCAACCCTCTATTATTTCTCACAAAGTGGCTCATGAATTGTGGTTGGATTTGAAAACTCGATATGGGGGATCTAATGGTCCTCGCATTCATCAATTAAAATCCGAGTTTCAATCTTTGCGTCAAAAAGGTCAAACTGTGGTTGGTTACTACAATCCATTTGTGACGTTGTGGAACAAGTTATACGGATATGTGGACCCAATGTGCGGTTGCCGTTGTGAGGCTGCGGCATTGATTCGCGCACGTGAAGAACAAGAGAAAACCCACCATTTTGTTCTTGGCCTCGACGACGAACAGTTCGATCACATTTGTTCTCAGATTATTACCACCGAACCTGTTCCAGATCTCCATCGAGCATATGCCTTGGTTGTCCAAGAGGAACGACATAAAAGTATCGTTTGAAGCCGGGATGACCGTACCACGCCAGGTGGTGGTGGCGCTCCTACGCGTGCACCTGGACGTGGGATTGGAGCTGCGATAGGGGGAGCACATGCGGCTACAAACTCCAATGCTTTGGGGCTTACACCTGATCAGATGACACGTATACTCTCCATGCTTGATACTTCTTCCTCTGACAAGGATGCCGGAAGTAGTGGTGATACCTCTTCCCGTGAGTGGCTTATTGATAGTGGTGCTTCTCATCACATGACTGGTAATATTGCTTTTTTAACCGATGTGGTTTCTATGAGCCCGTGTGTCATCACACTCCCGAACGGCATGCACACCATTGCAACTCGGCGTGGCCGTGTGCGCCTATCGCCCGAGGTGGTGCTTCGGGATGTCTTACTTGTTCCTAACTTGCAGTGCAATCTTATTTCTGTTGGATGCCTTATACGTGATAATTCCTATCTTGTTATTTTTAACAAAAACTGTTGTGTCATACATGACTGTGCCACGAAGATGGAGATTGGACAGGGTGATGCACACAATGGAGTTTTTCTGTTTCGTTCGTCCTCTACCGCGTTGGCTACCCAAGTGGACCCTTCTCTTCTTCACAAACGCTTGGGACATCCATCAACTCATGTTTTGTCATCTCTTATTCCTTGTGCCAGTAGCTCTAAACTTAAATTGTTACAATCATGTGAAATTTGTTTTCAATCTAAACAAGTTCGTAGTTCCTTTCCTCTCAGTTCCAATAAAGCTACAAGTATTTTTGATTTAATTCATTGTGATATATGGGGACCCTATACCCCGTGTTTAGCTACTGGTGCTCATTATTTTCTTACTGTTAGAATAAGTGCCCTTCAGTAGAGGGGGGTTGAATAGTGAGTGAGGCACGAAAATGTTTATAAATTTTTGCGGAATAAAAATCACAGGGATAAAGTAAAGAGCGGAATAAAAAGGAGTAAAGGGAACACACCAAGATTTATACTGGTTCACCACAACGTGTGGCTAGTCCAGTCTCCCGAGAGACTCTCTCGAGCTACACTACTTCTGTTAAGCTTACGGGTGCTTAACAAACCGTTACAACCTGAGAACTCGAGTCCCACGAGCCTCAATACACTTGCTCAGAAATACCGCACTCCAAGACTTCAACCCGAAGGAAAATACTTTTCCTTCATACAACCAAGGGAAACAAGCTTCCCTAAACGTGTTTACAACACTAAGAACACTCAAGAACAACTCAAACTTCACAAATTGGCTCTAGAAAGCAATGGAAAATAATGTTGTTTGGATGCAATGATAATATGAATAAAGTGAAGTGAATTGATGTGTAAAGCATACCCAAACACCCTTTTTTATAGTGCCAAAATAAGCTCCAACGGATCAAAACATTTAAAGGGTGATTGGTTTGATCTATGGGATTGATTAAAATGTGGATCTGCAGGATATTAGCTTCCCATCGATGTTTAGACTCACCCATCGCTGGTAAGCCAATTTTCCTTCAGTTTTGAAGCCAACGGTCATCTACCCATCGATGGGTAAATGCTTCTCATCGCTGGGTGGGAGGTTGACTTTCAAACAAGGAAAGAATCAGCCTTAAATGACTCACAACGGTCATGCCTAACCAGCCATGGGTATGCCCTCCCATCGCTGGGTTCCCATCGATGGGTAAAGGTTCTCATCACTGGGTAAGGGCATTCTGCCTTGTGAAAATGTTGGACCAAGGCTTAAACAACGATGGGTAGAACTTCCCATCGCTGTTTGGCATGGTTCTGGAAATCAGTTGGGCTAAAGGCTGCTTACCCATCGCTGGGTAATATCTCCCATCGCTGGG